TTTTCTTTCGTCCTTCAGGTTACATGTGCCCATAATGTGATGACCGCGCCTTGTAGAGAATGGCGATGCAAGACAGGCCAACACCGCCGGCATCGGAGTGTACGAGAACCGTCCGGCTGGGGCCTCGGTCGAGACCAGCGCGATAGTCAAGGGCTGAGGACAACGCTACGGTGGAAAATCCAGACCCATGCCCTACCCAAAATTGACGTAGCGTAAGACATGGGAAGCGCTGCTGCAACTGCTGGACCGATATTAGGCGGGACCTGCATCGTTACGGTGTGATAACGTCATGGAAGAGCGGCTTGCCTTGCAACAGTAACTAGCTGGCAGGAGAATTGTGGAGTGCAATCCGCTGGCACCCAGGGTGACACAGCCCACAACTTCACCTGGCTTGACGTGGTGAACTCTGATGATGGGAAAGCCAAATATCGCACCTCCTAGAGCTTCCAGAAGAACGCCATTGTAGAAAGTAAGACAAAGAAAGTAAACGCTTTAGTCATAACTCACCCTTCGCCGACAGCAGTGACTACTCCTGAGAGTTCACCGCCGAAGAATGACATGGGCATGGCTCCGGTAGCTGCGAGAGCATCCAGGAAAGACAGACCCCAGTACCGAGCCCTGACGCGTACGAAGCCTGAATTAAGGGATTATGAGGACTAACACCTTCTGGAAAAAAGCTGGGCCTTACCGGGAGGAACGATGCCGCCGTCAACTCGAACAGGAGCGAAAGTTGCATCCAAGTTACCGTTACCGGACGGCGTTATGACGTATTCACCGTATTCTTGGGGAACACTGTGTTCATCAGGGATGTCAATTGGGCCGATCATTGGTCGCATGATTCGCGAGTTCAAAATGCGGCTCCTCACGTCGTCGGTACCGAGGGTATGAGCTTTTTCCTGGCGATAGACATACAGGCTACTCGTAGGCATCGTCGTCTGCATAGTGAAGCCTTCGAACGTGATCCACTGTCCAGAACTCGGTTGGTGCAAGACCAAGTCGAAGCTGCAAGCCAGCACGTTGACCTCTGACTTCTTCACCACGACTTCCCAGTCAGTGCAGCCCTTGCCGTCAGAAGTTCCCGTCTCGAAATGGACGCATCGAATGGCTTTGGGGTACCCGCCGAAGGCGGAAGGGTCCAGTAGTGCACAAGCGTGAGTGCACGCATCCATCACGGCGGCCAGGTGTCGTCCATCGCTCACCGTGGCCACGACAATGCCCTCACATCGTTTGGCAGACCTCAACAGTCTGAACGATGGGCCATAGGGGAACCCCGCATCAGCGAAATGCTGGTAAAGATCAGCAACATCAACCTCATTCCAACTGTCGCCCGATCTGGAGCTTGATTCTGTCAGAGCTCGACGTACGTAGTTAGGGCCAACACGCTTGCTCTCTTTCCTGGTCGCAGAGGCGTACACAGTTTCCCCATCCCGGACTTCACCGCGCGTTGTTTCGATATGATGGCCTTTGTCAATCCAAAGCACTTTGTGGAAGGCCACCTTCTCAAGAACACCAGTGGCGGATCTAGGGTATCCTATGAGCCATAAAATCATCGCCGTCGCGGGCACAACAACGCCGCCCTCCGTTGCATGATCGATCATCCATCCCAATCTGCAGTTTGCGGCCACCTGACCAATGCTAGGAACCCAACCAGGACCAGGTTTAGGCAGGAGCTGAGCCCATATTGGAGCCTCTCGTGGTAGACCAGCAGCGCTGAGATAGTTTTGCCAGTCAGAGATATTCGCGACCACTACACTCCTCGACTTCAGATGACCATCGGCGAGACTGCTCAAGAGGTTGCCCATGGCTTGGAGACCCTCACGAGGCTGTAAGAAGTGCTCCCCTGCTGTCGGATTAATGTTGTATTTGGCAGACATACTGCTCGCGATCGACTTAGACCAGCCACCCCATTGAATAGACAATACGTCAGCTGAAGACTTCTCCGCGAAGTAGTCGGAGGCGGAGTTGGCGGCTGCGTAAACAGACTGCCCAGGATTGCCGAATGCGCTTGAACTCGAGGAGAACAACACGTACCGAGGACCCGATCCTAGCGCTTTCACGAGATTCACTGGGCCGAGGACTTTCGCGGCAACAGCTCGGTAAAGTTCTTGATAGTCAGAGGGAGCATTTTCAACAACAGCGTCTTCCACCACACCAGCACAGTG